TGAGGACTACTAGCAGCCAAGAGTGGAGAGAATCTCGACTCGAGAGAAAATCATAGCGAATAATTCAGCTCAAACTCTCCTATTTCGAGATCTATAAAAATGTGTTTGTGTTTGGTCAATTGATCTCTAAATCTAAACCTAACCTGTAAAGCAAAGGTTTTTTTATGATATCTATCGCGTAAAAAGTTTGCAATTTGAAATAAGTGCTATGCAAGGTTTAGAATGTTGGATGTCGGGAAAATATGGGATGATCAAAATCCATATCAGATTGTAGGTTTTAGGAAAATATCGAAGATATATAGTAAATTTTGGTGTGACAGATCAGGTAATGTCTATATATAATAGGGTAAATTGCACTTCAATACCGTATAGTTTCCCACTTTTTGTGCTTTAAATACCTCAAGTTGTATTTTGGTGCGAAAAAATACTATAAAGTTTTCAAAATTTGCATGTTACTACCATCGATCATGCAAATGTGTAAACTTTCACCCAATTGTTTATATGTGATACTTATGTACTAATTTTAGAGCTTTCTAACCATTAATATTTGTTAAAATTTTCATTAGAAATATCACAACTCTATTTTAAAGTTGAATTAGGATGAGTTTGAAAATGTTTAATCTAATAGTAAATTTAACAAATATTATTAGTTAAAAAGCTCTAAAATTAGCATGTAAGTATTATAGAGAAACATTTAGGCAAAAATTTTCACGATTGTATGATCGATGGTGGTAATATGCAAATCTTAGAAACTTTATGGTATTTTTTTGCACCAAAATGCAACTTGTGGTATTTAAGTGCAACAAGTGGGAAACTATATGATATTTAAATGCAATTTACTCTATATAATATAATACACTAATTTGTAATCTAAACATACTTAATGAAATCTAAGCATTAAAAATGTAAATAATATATGTTAGGACCACTAACCACTCTTTTAAAACAAGAGTCCAAATCAAAATTGCAACATTTTGATCGATTTTGGCCTAAATGTCACTTGATATATCAGCAAAATCATGATGTCCCCTAAAAATTGCCAAAAGATGTAAATTGTTTTGCAGTAGGCCATATAAAAATACGTATAGGTCAACATATCAACTGATATATCGATCATGTTGGGGATATATTGTCCAAAAATTGCCAAAAAGGGCGATAGAGAATATTGACACTACATCGTTTTAAAACAACGATCCTATGAAAAAGGAATTATAAAAGAAATCTCTCAAATCCTTTAAGTTAACACCAAAATGTTATCATTAGTGTGTTTTGTTGGAATTTAACTCATTTCGGATAATTATCCGAATACCAATAATATTAGTGTTACCTAAGTTGGCTTCCCCCCATAAGTTCTCTCTCTCTCTCTCATTAGTGTTACCTAAGTTGGCTTCCCCCCATAAGTTCTCTCTCTCTCCTCATCCTTCTCTCTCTCCTCATCCTTCTCTCTCTTTATAAACCTACCCACTACGCAACAATGGCAGCCACCCCTCCATGCTCCCCTAGTATAGCACCCAGTTCTCCGTCATCCACCATGCAACTCATCATCTCCCAATCCAACCCTTACCTACACCTTATCCCTCTTCACTCTCACTCTTTTCTCTACCCAACCTCGCCTAATTCTGTCTCCCCTTGCCCCATGCAACAATAGCTGAGAATAAATGAAGAGGATAAGGGTATCACGGAAATAACAAACGGACCACTCTAAAATTTTTGGTTAAAACAATGGAATTTAACCTGGAAAGTTATTTTTTATTATTGTCTTTTGAGGATCTATTTCAAAGTGAGCATCCTTTGGGGACCTATACTAGGAAAACTTTTAAAACTAATATTAACTCATAACCCAATATAACACTTTTTCAGCTGATTTTTTATGTCAAAATGCTGCTTTGTATTGAGAAAATCCGAGGATATAAGGGAGATCTCGATACATCACCGATATTATTCATAAAACATACATCGTTCTCATTGTAGTAAGTTCTGTGAAACAACATTTCCGCTATATATATCGGACATCTGAGCCGTTTTTTAAACATTGCTCATGATTTATGCCTTTGTTCTCAAAAGAGCAATCCTCAAATTTCTTACAATCTGCTTAGATGAAGAGGTAAGATTATACAACTTTATTAAGTGCTTTGTATCCACGTTTGAGGCATAGTGGAAGACAAATAGAGGTAAAGTACATTCCTTGATGTTTAGACTATTACAATTTTGTTGGTTACCCACTTTTGGGTTCTAGAAATATTGACGATATTCATTATAATCTAAATTTTTAGCTAATATCCCGTAATAATTTCATTTATAAGAAAATGATGAGAGAATTGCACCTATATTGTACATAACATTCCAGAAAGTGTTAGGCATCTAGACGCCAGACCAGCCACGTAGGCGGGCACTTAAGCTCCATGGTTGTGTTTTTAGCATCAAAAGAGGAATGATTCTCTTTAAAGATTCAAATCCTATCATTGCCGCTCACATAAGATGAACTTGGATACGGAGTTTTGATCTGATTTATTTCACTTGGCCCATTCTCTTCATCTGTTGCTATCCCCAA